CCAAAGATTACTGGAACTAAACCTCATGACACCGGAAGTCAGAATAGTTAGGGAAGACATGAGCACTACCCATAAAATTCTCAGAGGAATTGATAGGGTAGATAAAGATAAACTACAGTATTTAGCACGGGTGGTACATGAATAGGGGACACAGTCAACATTCATCGTCTACATAATCCACCAGAAGGAATACAGAAATATCGAACATGATTACAGATGATGCTAAGATGCTGGGAAAGATAGGAGACACAGACAATTGTAATGCCCTTCAAATCGATCTAGATAAAATAAGTGCTTGGAGCGTCAAGTGGCATGTAACAAACTAGGCTGGTTGTAAGAATTATTCCAGAAGGTTCCAGAAGTTTCGTGTAGGGACCTGACGCTCAACAACGCACATTCCTCTGGGAATTAGCAGGTCTGAGTCACAAATGGCGAGCGTCTCTGTTCATAGCTGCGTATAATGAATCATCTTATAGTATTCAGTAAGTTAGAGAAATTAGCCTTTATTAATTTTGTATTAAAATTGTATTGTATAATATTACTGGGTACAATATCAAGAGTATTCTAATTATTGAGTTAAGTCACCATCAGTGACATCACGAATCAGATCTAAGTTGTAAGGCGGAGTGACCTGGCGGTCATAGGTCATCAGAGTTGACATGTACACTATTTTCTCAAAGTTCAAATAACCATTTTGGTGATCGGAAACAGCTCTGCTGTTAGAGGCTTGTGTAATTTAACTTCAGTAAAATAATTCAACCAGTCTGGATCAATTAAGTACAACAGAGGTTAATTGTTATAACTTGAACCTTGCTAGTAACTTGGTAAAACTTAGACTATGCGGAAGGATACAATGCTCTAGTCTGGGGTAGACCAGACGAGGAGAGATCAGTGTGAACTCCAGATCAACTGGGGGAGGTCAACCCATCTCACCTCTCCCCCAAGACCAGCCCAACATCTTTAGCTGGTCAACATAGAGGTATAGTTGCTAGTGTTATTTATAGGGATAGTCAATTCATTGCTGTTCAGGTCAAGTAGGGAGTGTTAAAGTGACAGGGAGTGAACATATTTAGATTTTGTTTTAGTTTTCTTTTAATAAATTATTTAGTTAATAATTTGCATTTTTATTATTTCCATGTGTTTATGTGAACTTGTCCTGGTCACGTGGTCCACACGAGGCAGAGTTGGATTGGGCGCCGACTCTAACATCGAGTCGGAATTCATCATTACCGTGTAATTTATTCCACACTTAAGGTCATCGGTTATAGTGGGGATCAAGCCCCAAGGTTGATTAATTAGCATGAACGATCCAGACCTCGATCATTGCTCTGTGTTACTGGTCTGGTGGTGGCGGCGGAGGCGACTCTAGGGTTTTGCTCAAAGCCTAGGTCACGTCATACGGGTTGTAGAATCCTAAGTTGGTCAATCGTCTTAGGACCACGTGGCGTGGAGTTGGCTTTAGTAAAAGTTTTGGAGTCCCTTGGTAGAGAATAAAAAGTAAGAATACGGGTAGAGGGGGAGAAGGAGGAAAGATTAGTCGAGAAACCTTCCCCGTGTTACAGGCAAATGGAATTCCATGTGAATAAATCCCATATTATAGAATGTGGAATCAAAGAAAATAGACCACACACACAACTAACAAATTTTGTGGACAGGAATTTCTAATAAACTCTAATAAAGAATGAGACCTAGGAGTGGTTTTGAATAGTAAGCTGTAGTCAGAGGAACACAAAAAACATTGTCAGCGGAGCATATGTGTCGCTTTCCAACTCCAGACTTGTTTTTAATTATATGGATGGCGAAATACAAAAGAAACTGTTCATGATTTTAATGAGACCAAAATTAGAATATGCAGCAGTTCTATGCATATAAATCTGCCCAAATCTCAAGAAGCACATAAATAAACTGGAAAATGTGCAACAGCACGCTACAAAATGGCTTCGGGAACTGAAAAACAAGAGTTACGAGTTACTAGACGCGTTAAACGTGCCAAAACGAGAAGATAAAACAAAGAGTTGATATGATTACCATTTAAAAATTACTTAACAGGAATCGACCAAATTGAAAAAGAGGAATTCCTGAAACCAGGAACTTCATGAATAAGAGGACACCGATTCAAGCTGAGGAAACAAAGATGCCAAAAAAATACAGTATAGAAAGTTTTCTTTTGCAAACAGAGTGGTAGATAGTTGGAACAAGCTATGTGAGAAGGTGGTGGAGGCCAAAACCGTTAGTACGTAGTTTCAAAGCGTTATACAACAAAGAGTGCTGGGAAGACGGGACACCACGAGCTTAGCTCTCATCCCGTAACAACACTTAGATACAGTAATTACCCTAAGGTAATTACAGGTGGAAACTTAGTACCCAAATGAGCTACAGGGATATCTGTGAACAGGAACAGAACTTTTTCCGTGTCAGTAGTTAACAGATGGAATGCATTAGGCAGTGATGTGGTGGAGGCAGACTCCATACACAGTTTCAAATGTAGATCTGATAGAGCTCAATGGGCTAGGAATCTGTACACCAGTTGATTGACAGTTGAGAAGCTGAACCAGAGTCTAACCTCAACCCTCACACACACAACTAGGTGAATACATATAGTACTCATTATCTTCACCCAGAAATTAATTACCCGGTATACCATACCCATCTCTCCAAGCATGAGGTCTGATTTGCTTATTAATTCTTTCTTCTACTGAACGTATGTAGTACACTACCTTATGGAATCTCAGCAGAGATCAAATGGTACAGAACTCATTTACTTTATCCACATGGGTTCTTTGACTATTCACTAGCATTTATTGCACTTTTATGATTCATAGAGACAGACACAGACAGGCAGGCAGACATACAGTGGGCAATTCATCAGACTAGAAAAATGCTAGAGCTTGAGAAGTATTCCAATGCAACCTCCCTATTCCTGTCTTTTTGTGAAAAGACAGGCATCTTTGAAGTAGATCAGCAGCAGCTGATTTTTGGAAAACTTGTTCTTTGGAAAATCTGCTTCTCACATTAGGTGACTGAGGCCTCCTGGTTTGGACTATCATTGCCTGAATTATGCTTTCCTTGGACAACAAATGGCAGGAGGCTATGTATTGATTTTCCACTCTCTTACCTTAGAAGATTTTTGTTACCATTGTTCCTGGGAAGCTTCTGGCCTTTTGCCTGTAGTTATGCTCCATGAATCTGGCATGGTTCAGGGCCTGGATTCCAGCCTTCACTGCAGCAGTTTGGGGTGATGCTCTCTAAAACTGGTGTGGTAGCATTCAACAATCTGGAAATGACGGTTGTTTGTCTTGCTACATACTACTGTATACTTCTCTTCCATGGAGCTCAGCTCTGTCTACATTCTGACAGTTCTCTGGTGGAGTATGCCTTTTTCCACTCTCCTTTATTAATGGATGCTTGCCATTGTCTCTCTTTTGGTTCTCCAGGTTTTGTGCTTGCAGCAGTTCATATTTGCAACCGGGAGTTCTACTGACCTCACACGGATCCTGCAGTCTCTCCGAGACACAAACCAGGGTTTTATACCATTCCCCCCCATGCACCTGACAGCTGAGTGGACAGCACTTCGGATTCGTAGTCCCAAGGTTCCGGTACGGGTTCGATTCCTGGTGGAGGCGAAGACAAATGGGCAAAATGTTTCTTTCACCCTGATGCCCCTGTTACCTAGCAGTAAATAGGTACTTGGGAGTTAGTCAGCTGCTTCCTGGGGGGTGTAACAAAAAAAGGAGGCCTGGTCGAGGACTGGGCCGCAGGGACGCTAATCCCCGAAATCATCTCAAGATAACCTCAAGAAGATAACCCGGGTTCTGTCAATAAGCACAATAAGCTCTGTCGTGGCAGTCAATTAAGACGTGTCTGGGATGCTCCCGGACGTAGGTTCGAACTCTAATCACAGCCCTTGTGGATTTGTTCATTTGGTGCATCACGCTATTGTGATTTCTGTGTGTAACCTTCAGCATCTCTCCAATATTATAAAAAAATTATTTTAGTTAATAACAGATTCTTTTATTAATAAGTATGAACTTATGTCTGAGTTAGAGCAATGCTTCAAAATCTTATCACTGTGATACATCAAATATTGCTGCACTAGTAGCACCAGAGAAAGTACATACAGTATAGTAAACATATCCTATACTGTTAAGTTATCCAATGCCTTCTTCCATTATACAATCACTCATTCTCATTCATTCACTGTCAGTGTCTTTCTCATCTTCACTTCCTCTCTCAAATACACATACAAAAAAGGATAATTATTTATATATATATTTTTAAAGTTACATGCATGAAAGTTTCTTTATTTAATGAGATATCTCTGTTCATGTTATAAAATTAGCAGATTTGATTTCACTCCATTCACACTAACCCTGACATTCCTTTCCTGTGTAAGACCCATCCTTGGAATTTATGAAATTCATGTAGCCACTGTCCAACTGCTCTGTGTAAGTATTGAATAGAAATCTGACTAGTGTGTAGTTTTATTTAAAAGAACAATTAAAAGTTCTTGTTCTATTACTATATAAGAAATAACTTATAAATACATCCCTTGGAAATGGAAACAAATTACATTTATAAAAAGCTAGTCTTCTGTAGCAGATAATATATTTTAATTAAGTATCAATAGCTTAAATCTGCATATACTATACGTTACTGTAACAACTGCATGATGCCCAGTAACCCATCAGAGTAATGTGTCAAGCAATATTTATACCCATTACTTTATTCTCCAGGACCTGATTTATTTATGGCCATCATTGGGAGACATAACAAACCACTATTTGTGCTTAACTCTGATTTAAAAATAATAGAAAGGCACAGACATCAAAATCTGATGTCCAGTTAGGATAAAATTCTGGATAAACAGGTTCCAGATAATAGATGTAAGGGCATATCAGAAAAAACTTATCAAAGGAATAACCATCCCTGCACCAGCCAACATCCTGCCAACCACAACAAAGAAAGCTTATCAAGAATTTATCATGCCAAATCTACCGTACCTGGGATCTTGGGTAAGGGGGAGGGGGGTGGCCAGGATATGGTGGTGGTGGCGGAGCTGGCTGACGGATCATTCCTGGCCTATGTCCAAGCATCCTAGTTACTCCACCTCCAATACCTGAAAACCCTGAACCTTAAAAATGAGAGTCTGTCCACCAGAAAATTATACATTTAAAATGATAAATTGTTTTTTTTCAAAATTAATATATGATTTCCAGGAAAGATGTATTAAAAAGTTAACCAACTATCTGACACTTACTTGGGTTCACTTGGGTTAAATGTGGTGCCATTTGAGCCTGAACTGGCTGCTGTTGAGGGGATGTGCTCATCGTTACACGAACTGGACCCATTATTGGCCCAGGTGGAGGTCCAGGTGGAGGTCCAGAAGAAGGCCCAATTGGAACCATTGTTGAAGGTGAGGGCATATTTGAACATTCAGTATTGCTTACATTAACTGGACTTGGGCCTGATGGAGCCATATTGGATGATAATGATGGCTCAGGATGATGCAGTGACACACCCCCTGGTTCAATGCCAGGCCTCTGTTGCACACTGTGTTGCATTGTTGGAGACTGATGAGGCTCTTGTGACTGTGGTCCCCTGTCCAAGGTTACACTATTGACAGGGTGGTTCTCAGGTTCATGGCCAGGTGGTAGGGTAGGTCTTGGATGATGTGAAAGGGGCCCAGATGATGGTAAACATACAGGTATCTCACTTGGCAACCCCATCCTATCTCTCTGCTGCAGACCACGGGACATTACCAAATCTCTACGTCTTTCTTTTTTCCGCCTGCAAGAGCAGATTTTTTACATTATGATAATTCTGAAACTTAAAAAACAGCATTGAATGACCAACAAGAAGCAGAAGTTAGGCAAATAATTAGGAAATAACTGGTTACCAACAGCAAATTAGTACAAAACACTGCAGATAGAAGTATTGTAAGTCCATAATAATTTGCTATGGTTTGCCCAGTGTCAACATTGGTTTCCTGGAGGGGCTGAATGGTGGCTCCCTGTAGCTAACCAAAGAGAAGAGAAGGAAGAGGAGAGCAAATATTGAAGTCCAGAAAGGAGACCAGGATGAAAAATCTTACCCAAAGCAATTCAAGCCTGCTGGGAACCAGGGACATTGACCAGGTAATGATCTGTCAGGAACATGCTAAACACTAAAACCCTCATGTTCTGATATCAGCCCAAGACATGTTAAGAGCTTGGTATTTCGGATTCCGGTAACCTGAATCTCCAAGTAATCCGAATGAATTAAAGTTTGAGCGGTTCATCTTTTAACCTTTAGACAGTGGTTATCATCACTTGTTGATTCACAGGGTAATGTCTTTATCATCATATGAAGATTTAAAAAATTATTGTCTGGGGTTTTACATGTATGATGCAAATATCGATATACAGTTAATAGGTCTATGTGGATGTAATGGAGTTTACCTTGACCTACGAAAGAAAACCCTGCTACCATTTCATGGTATAAATGCTGTTATTGTCATGAATGTTACTAGGGGAATGCAGTCATCATATAATTATTTAAAAATTACTGTCTGAGTTTTACATGTATGATGCAAATACGGACATAAAACTTCTCCATTGACGGGGTATGACCGTTTCCCCATAGCCGTTGTCTAAGGACTATATATAAATTGCAAAACTATCTGCAATACTTTAATTTTCCAACCAAAATAAATTATTGGCATGAGAGTACAAGATAAAAAATACAAAAGATTTCATAACTTGCCTTTCTTCTTCATCGTCACCAAGATCATCAAAGAGGTTAGAAGGCAGCTTTTCATTATCCTCCTCCCCATCTTCTCCATCAGCAAATTCTAAGAGGGCATTGAAATCTCCACCCATACCTGCATAAAACATAGTTTAAAGGAATTGTAGAATTTCAAAGCTCAAACAGAGTTCTCAGCTGAGGAAAATATTTATGTTAAATGACATGAATCAACAGTATATTAAAGAAATTCATTTATAGATAAACTGGAAATTATTTGACTGTAGATAACCAAGAGAGATATCCCTAGGCTCCCATATCTCTAGATATTTGAAGATTGGGGTGTAATGCATATAAGGTGGAGGAAGTAATGGTGATGTTGAGGTGACTGTGACAGTAATAGTCATGGTGGCAGTAACTGTGGGTGTAGTGGTAATAATTAATAATGTCTGAAGCATCAGTGGTGAAGGTAAAAGTGGTGGTGGTAGTAGTTATGTTGGTGGTAATTAAGATGAAGACAATGGTTGTTGTGATATTAGTGGTGCTAATTGTTGTTAAGACAATTAATTGTTGAGTGCTAGGAAAATAATGTTGAATTGGTCACATGGGAGCCAGGAGGAGGAGGAGGAGAGGCCTACAAAGGTCTCTAGCCTGGCTAGCATGGAAAGAAGCAAGAAAAAAGAGAAAAGGTGCAGGTATGTAAGACCAATGACTTCGGTCCAGGCAAAATACATACTCTGCAAATGCACAGCAATTCAGAAACTGTACCCCACACAGACTGAAAGCTGCTGATTCTAAATAGAAGAAAGCAAGTTCACTGTCGATCGCCGAGTGTCTCACAAGCCTGAAAACGAAGCCTTATCCACTACAATGAGAACACAACGTGAGGATTCTACAGACCCAAATTGGGAATCAGTGTAGCAAAAGAGAACTTCACTGTGAGCCCCAGATCATTTGTGATTTGGACAAGTCAACTGTCGTATCCTTCAGTAGGGCTCATGGTACAGAATGATCTCATATCCCCAACCTCATGGAAGGTAGGGGCTTCTATTTGTGTATCCTACACAGACGTGCATAAGCCAAACCAATCACAGCTTTCTTAGCTGACCAATCTCAGATCAGCTGCTATGCTTATCAAGGAAATGTTCCAGAAGATAATAGAAGCTTTGTACAGCATGTGACTTCATGCCTTGCAGTTGACTTGACCTCACTCGCCTGAGGCAGGTGTGTATCCTCGCCTGAGGTGTGTGGTGTGTGGGGGAGGTACGGCAAACAAACTTGTACTAATTTCAAGGTATTTCGATCATTTGTTTACATTGTTGGGGTCTGTTTTTCTGGTGGTTCTCGAGACTACAGTCTCATATGAAGCTAGCAGTGGTTTGTTTTGTTTTGCTGACTTTCGGGTGCTTTCCCTGATGATGGCATAAATAAATATATGAATGTCACTGTTCCCTGCACCTCCATCAAGGGTGCCAGGTTCTGGCTCTGGTCTCCAGTAGGCTATAGAACTCCATAGCTGATGCAACCTAGTAGTGGTACAATATCAGTAATAGCAGCTTAAGGAAGACATTAGAGGCTTCTCACCAGAAAAATATACAAAGTAAAAATGTACAAATAAAAATGGCTATATGTATTAAGAAAGTTCAAATTTCAGCATGTGTAATAATTCCTATACCTCAACATAGCAGATATGACTTTGCAATTCTTACCTAATAAGTCATCATCTTCCATACTGGTGAGATCGCCTGCAGCCAAATCCTCCAAGTCATCTCCCGTTGTTTGCGATGGTGTTGGTTGTGGTGTTGATGACTGTGGTGTTGGGTCTTGATGATGATGTTGCTGCTGCTGCTGTTCTTCTTCGAGCTGCTCCAGTTCTCGAGTCACTGCTTCAGGAAGTTCTGACTCTAGCTGCTGCTGCTGTGATGGAGGTTGGTTTTGTTGAGGATGAGGTAATGATTGATGTGGTTGCTGAGGATGAGGTTGTGGTTGTTGAGAATGAGGTATTTGTTGATGGGGTTGCTGGGGTAGGGGCTGGGGTATGGGCTGGGGTAAGGGCTGTGGTGGATGGTTCTGCTGTGGGTGAGACTGTTGCTGAATAGGTGGCTGTGGGAGAGATGAGGGATGATGGGGTTGTTGTTGATGAAGCGTTGAGGGATGGGGTGGCCCCCCCAGTGTGTGTGTCGGTGGTTGCTGATGATGTGTAGGAGACACAACAGGAACCCTTACAGCTCCACCAGAAGGTAAATGAGGAGAACCTAACCCTTGGCTCACCATAACAGTTGCAGAGGGGCCTCTAACCACACTGGTCAGAGTTGGACGTACTCCAGGTAATGCAGTACTTATGTACTGCTGAGGTGGACGATGCTGCACATGAGGATTAAATGGGTCCATGGGGCTACGGCCAGCAACAGCAGCCTGCCTTTGTGATTGCTGCTGTTGTAAACTTCTTTGCTGAAGAATCATCCTAACTCTTGGATCCATCTGCCCACCTTGGGGAGAGACAGAATGCGTTATCATGCTAGGCTGACCTGGTGTCATGCTAGGTCTCATTCGAGTACCTTGTCCCTGAACCACAGGTGGAAGAGGTGGCCGAAACTCCCCAGGAAGTCCTGTTGGAGAAGTCATAGGTTGTGGGATACCTGGCTGATGTACCCCAGGATTCTCACTCCAAGGCCTCTGAAGTAACTCTCGAAGGTGTTGCTGGCGTGCAGGATCTGGGATGGAGCCTGGAGGACCAGGAGTTGGAGGCTGCCCATAGACATCATCATGAGGGCGAGGAGTGGGTGGAGCTTGAACATACGGGGAAGATGGCGGCTGAGAAAATGAGTCAGTTGGTGTGGCACAAGTTGTAAATGGATCAGATGTTAAGGGTCTTGGAACTGGAGGCTGAGTTGCATATGGATCTATTGGGCGAGGAGTAGGTGGTGGCATTGTATACTGGTCGTTTGGAACAGGTCGTGGTGTTCCTGGAGGTAAACTATAAGGATCAGAGGAATGAGGCCTTGGAGAGGGTGGTATCCGAGAATAAGGATCACTTGTAGGTGAAGGCAAAGGTGATGTCTGTGGTGTAGGAGTTGATGGTGGATGTGTAAATGAATCTGCTGATTTGCTAGGATGAGGAGTTCCTGGTGGAAGAGCATAAGGATCATTTGTTCCCTGGGAATGAGTTAAAGGTCCTCTAATTATGCCATGCGGGATATTTTGTCTCATGGGTGACCCAGACTGCATTTGAGGTCGCTGTGTGATAATCATTGGACGTGGAGGCGTCAGTGATGGCAGAGGAGGGCGAGGGGAAGCATGAGGAGTATTCATAGGACTAGGATCAGTGTTGGCTCCCTCATTAACACTTCCTGGGGTTCCTGCTGAGCCTGGTGTGGTAGAGCCTTCCATATTCTCACTATTCTTCAATGCTCTCTGTTGTTCCTAAACAAAGAGCAAAAGAAAGTTAGTAATTTGTTGAATATAATAATGTTCAAAACACACTGGTCTAAAATTAAATACAATATCCTAAAATATGTGAATACATTTTAAATTTAACACCCACGTATAACTATGGCAGCTGTATAAACCTAATATGCCTTTAATCATCCTTGAAAATTTCTTGCATAACTACATAGTGCAGGTAACTGATGTCTCATGCAAAAAGTTAACAAACTAGATGTGTTTTTATCATAGTCAATCAAGGCAAGTTATTCCAGTCCCTATGTACACCAACATACCCCCTTATCCACTCACATTATGTATGTGTGTATATCTATATTTCTTGATATACAAGAAGATACAGTGGGTTGTGAGATAACATAACATTGGTATTTGAGCGTTACATTCTTGCAAGGCCACTAACACAGTGTTTTGGCCAGTCCAAAATATAAATACACAGATACTGTAGATATAGTAGGCTGAGAAGTGCGTTCTAGCTACTAGGTACGACATATATATATATATATATATATATATATATATGTCGTACCTAATAGCCAGAACGCACTTCTCAGCCTACTATTCAAGGCCCGATTTGCCTAATAAGCCAAGTTTTCATGAATTAATGTTTTTTCGTCTACCTAACCTACCTAACCTAACCTAACCTAGCTTTTTTTGGCTACCTAACCTAACCTTACCTATAAATATAGGTTAGGTTAGGTTAGGTAGGGTTGGTTAGGTTCGGTCATATATCTACGTTAATTTTAACTCCAATAAAAAAAAATTGACCTCATACATAGAGAAAAGGGTTGCTTTATCATTTCATAAGAAAAAAATTATAGTAAATATATTAATTCAGGAAAACTTGGCTTATTAGGCAAATCGGGCCTTGAATAATAGGCTGAGAAGTGAGTTCTGGCTACTAGGTACGACATATATATATATATATATATATATATATATATATATATATATATATATATATATATATATATATATATATATATGTCGTACCTAGTAGCCAGAACTCACTTCTCAGCCTACTATTCAAGGCCCGATTTGCCTAATAAGCCAAGTTTTCCTGAATTAATATATTTACTATAATTTTTTTCTTATGAAATGATAAAGCAACCCTTTTCTCTATGTATGAGGTCAATTTTTTTTTATTGGAGTTAAAATTAACGTAGATATATGACCGAACCTAACCAACCCTACCTAACCTAACCTAACCTTTACTAATAGGTAAGGTTAGGTTAGGTAGCCAAAAAAAGCTAGGTTAGGTTAGGTTAGGTAGGTTAGGTAGACGAAAAAACATTAATTCATGAAAACTTGGCTTATTAGGCAAATCGGGCCTTGAATAGTAGGCTGAGAAGTGCGTTCTGGCTATTAGGTACGACATATATATATATATATATATATATGCAACAATGATCACAAAAACACTGATCCAAGTATGCAGAATAACCACATATGAAAAATAGAAACTGCTTAACGCGTTTTCGGCTAATTCGCCTTCATCAGAGCAAAGTAGAATGTATCTACTTTGCTCTGATGAAGGCGAATTAGCCGAAAACGCGTTAAGCAGTTTCTATTTTTCATATGTGGTTATTCTGCATATATATATATATATATATATATATATATATATATATATATATATATATATAATATATAATATATATATATATATATATATATATATATATATATATATATATATATATATATATATATATAATATATAATATATAAATATATAATATATAAATATATAATATATATATATAATATATATATATAATATATAATATATAATATATAATATATAATATATATATATATATATATATATATATATATATATATATATATATATATATATATATATATATATATATATATATATATATATATATATATATATATATGTCGTACCTAATAGCCAGAACGCACTTCTCAGCCTACTATTCAAGGCCCGATTTGCCTAATAAGCCAAGTTTTCATGAATTAATGTTTTTTCGTCTACCTAACCTACCTAACCTAACCTAACCTAGCTTTTTTTGGCTACCTAACCTAACCTTGCCTATAAATATTGGTTAGGTTAGGTTAGGTAGGGTTGGTTAGGTTCGGTCATATATCTACGTTAATTTTAACTCCAATAAAAAAAAATTGACCTCATACATAGAGAAAAGGGTTGCTTTATCATTTCATAAGAAAAAAATTATAGTAAATATATTAATTCAGGAAAACTTGGCTTATTAGGCAAATCGGGCCTTGAATAGTAGGCTGAGAAGTGAGTTCTGGCTACTAGGTACGACATATATATATATATATATATATGTCGTACCTAGTAGCCAGAACGCACTTCTCGGCCTACTATGCAAGGCCCGATTTGCCTAATAAGCCAAGTTTTCATGAATTAATACATATTCTCTAATTTTTTTCTTATGAAATGATAAAGCTACCCATTTCATTATGTATGAGGTCAATTTTTTTTTATTGGAGTTAAAATTAACGTAGATATATGACCGAACCTAACTAACCCTACCTAACCTAACCTAACCTATCTTTATAGATTAGGTTGGGTTAGGTAGCCGAAAAAGTTAGGTTAGGTTAGGTTAGGTAGGTTAGGTAGTCGAAAAACAATTAATTCATGAAAACTTGGCTTATTAGGCAAATCGGGCCTTGCATAGTAGGCAGAGAAGTGCATTCTGGCTACTAGGTACGACATATATATATATATATATATATATATATGTCGTACCTAGTAGCCAGAACGCACTTCTCGGCCTACTATGCATGGCTCGATTTGCCTAATAAGCCAAGTTTTCCTGAATTAATATATTTTCTCTAATTGTTTTCTTATGAAATGATAAAGCTACCCATTTTATTATGTATGAGGTCAATTCTTTTTTATTGGAGTTAAAATTAGCGTAGATATATGACCGAACCTAACCAACCCTACCTACCCTAACCTAACCTATCTTCATAGGTTAGGTTCGGTTAGGCAGCCGAAAAAGTTAGGTTAGGTTAGGTTAGGTAGGTTAGGTAGTCGAAAAACAATGAATTCATGAAAACTTGGCTTATTAGGCAAATCAGGCCTTGCATAGTAGGCTGAGAAGTGCGTTCTGGCTACTAGGTACGACATATATATATATATATATATATATATATATATATATATATATATATATATATATATATATATATATATATATATATATATATATATATATATATATATATATATATATATAACTGAAAACTCACACCCCAGAAGTGACTCGAACCCATACTCCCACAACTGGTATGTACAGGGACGCCTTAATCCGCTTGACCATCACGACTGGACATAAGGAAGTGATAGCCTTCCTAAACACACAAATAAAAGGAACACAAAACCTTTTTGTGTTCCTCACGTGTGCCCCAAAGAATGAGGTGATTTGATAAAATGCTATGCCCAAGATTACCATCCGAGTGCCGGCAGGGAAGTGGTTCATATAGCCTCGGCTATCACTTCCTTATGTCCGGTCGTGATGGTCAAGCGGATTAAGGCGTCCCTGTACATACCAGTTGTGGGAGTATGGGTTCGAGTCACTTCTGGGGTGTGAGTTTTCAGTTGTATATAGTCCTGGGGACCATTCAGGCTTGTTTGCATATTATATATATATATATATATATATATATATATATATATATATATATATATATATATATATATATATATATATATATATATATATATATATATATATATACTGTATATATGTGTCGTACCTAGTAGCCAGAACGCACTTCTCAGCCTACTATGCAACGCCCGATTTGCCTAATAAGCCAAGATTTCATGAATTAATTGTTTTTCGACAACCTAACCTACCTAACCTACCTAACCTAACCTAACCTAACTTTTTCGGCTACCTAACCTAACCTAACCTATAAAGATAGGTTAGGTTAGGTTAGGTAGGGTTGGTTAGTCGGGCCTTGAATAGTAGGCTGAGAAGTGCGTTCTGGCTATAGGTACGACATATATATATATATATATATATATATATATATATATATATATATATATATATATATATATATATATATATATATATATATATATATATATATATATATATATATATATATATATATATATATATATATATATATATATATATATATATATATATATATATATATATATATATATATATATATATATATATATATATATATATATATATATATATATATATATATATATATATATATATATATATATATATATATATATATATATATATATATATATATATATATATATATATATATATATATATATATATATATATATATATATATATATATATATATATATATATATATATATATATATATATATATATATATTGTTAATGAGCGGGTGCACTAGTTGAGTGGATATTTGCTTGCTTGTTGTTTCCTCCTGGGGAGGACTTCTTGGGCTCTGTTCAGTCTTGGGTTGCAATGTTTTACCAGTAGGGGGTTTGTAATGGTTCACTTCTCTTTCTGAGTGATACTTCCGGTCGATGGCAGAGATGACTTTACTCTCACAAAGTGGACTGTTTCATAAGACATTGCTCCCTTCACCTCTCCGAGGTAACCAGGTTCTGGCTCGTGGCTCCCGGTAGGTAGAGAACTCCAATTAACTGATGCTCTAGACTAATATAATGAATATCAGTCCGTTAACCTTAGGGAGCGTAGGGGCTTTCCCCAGAAAATACCAAGAAACTTCATATTTTCACCAAGATGAAAGATGCAAGTAGGAACACCAAGAGAGTAGCTACCTGTTGACCATACAGATGGCAGTAAAGAGAATCCAAACGCAGTGATTTGAGGAGAGCGTTGAACCTTCTAGGAACGTCTCTGGACCAATCCTCTGAAAAAATCTAAGCTTTGAAAAAACATGAAAGTTTGAACAACAGGCCAGAAGAACCAGAAACAAAGGTTGAACAGGCCACCAAGGAGTCAAAAGG